CACATCTTTCGACGTCAATCCCAGACTTCCGAACGATAAGCAAGAACAGCTCAAGGCACTGCTGCCTGCAATACGAAGATTGCTTTTCGTCGTCATCGAAAATTCGGCAGACCCCAATCACGAAACATCGAATCATAACCGAAGAAAATGCCAGACCACTCCGTCAGAGCCCGTACAGGGTTTCGACGCGAGAACGTGAGGCAATGAAGAGACAAGTTGATGAAATGCTGCGAGATGACATTATCCAGCCGTCCAAGAGTCCGTGGGCATCCCCCGTGGTGTTAGTGAAGAAAAAGGATGGGACCCTACGTTTCTGCGTCGATTATCGCCGCCTGAACAAAATCACAAGAAAGGTCGTGTATCCTCTCCCACGAATAGACGACGCCCTTGATCGGCTCCATAACGCCAAGTACTTCTCGTCAATGGACCTCAAGACTGGCTATTGGCAAATCGAAGTCGACGAAAGAGACCGAGAGAAGACGGCGTTTATAACACCGGACGGCCTCTTCGAGTTTAAGGTGATGCCCTTCGGCCTTTGCTCAGCGCCTGCAACTTTTCAACGCGTTATGGACACAGTACTGGCAGGATTGAAGTGGCAGACTTGTCTTGTGTACTTGGACGACGTCGTCGTGTTTTCCTCGAGTTTCGACGAGCATCTTCGGCGCCTTGAAGCTGTACTTCAAGCCATCAAGACGTCCGGACTCACACTGAAGCCAGAAAAGTGCAGATTTGCGTATGAGGAGCTCTTGTGTCTGGGGCACGTTATCAGCAAGTCTGGAGTTCGTCCCGATCCACGGAAGACAGCCGCCATCGCCGATTTCCCGCCGCCCACTGACAAGAAGGCCGTGCGCCGATTTCTGGGCCTGTGCGCCTATTATAGGCGGTTCGTGAAAAACTTCGCCCGCATCGCCGATTCTCCCACTAACCTTATTAAGGCCGACTCGGAGTTCAAGTGGGAAATGCCACAGGAACACGCTTTCCAGGAGCTTAAACATCGCCTCCAGACGCCTCCGTTACTTGCCCATTTCGACGAATTCGCCGAGACAGAAGTACATACTGACGCAAGCAGCGTAGGTCTTGGCGCCGTTCTTGTGCAGAGGGCTGACGGACTTGAAAGGGTTATTAGTTACGCCAGCCGATCGCTATCCAAAGCAGAAGCAAATTATTCCACAACAGAAAAGGAGTGCCTCGTCATCATCTGGGCTACGTCGAAATTTCGCCCCTACCTCTACGGCAGGCCCTTCAAAGTTGTGAGCGACCACCACGCCTTGTGTTGGCTAGCCACCTTGAAGAACCCTTCAGGTCGCCTCGCACGATGGAGCCTGAGACTTCAAGAATATGACATTACTGTCATTTACAAGTCCGGCAAAAAACACTCCGACGCTGACTGGCTCTCTCGTGCGCCTGTCGACCTACCGCTACATGACGACTCGGATGACGACTACTTCTTGGGAACGATAACTACCGACGACTTCGCTGAACGACAGTGGGCCGACCCGGAACTTAAAGCCCTAATAGAATACCTCGAAGGGAGGACCGCCGAAGTCCCGAAGGTATTCAAGCGCGCACTTGCGTCGTTCTTTCTAGGAAACGGTCTTCTACAAAAGAAAAACTTTTCACCACTTCGAGCTAAGTACCTCCTTGTGGTGCCTTCAGCTCTGCGACCAGAACTCCTGCAGGCCCTGCCCGACGATCCGACGGCAGGGCACCTTGGTGTGTCCCGCACGCTCGCGAGGATACAAGAAAGGTACTACTGGCCACGTCTTACCACTGACGTCACTCGTTATGTGAGGACATGCCGGGACTGTCAGCGACGCAAGACACCGCCGACAAGGCCAGCGGGACTTCTGCAGCCAATTGATCCACCTTGCCGAACTTTTCAGCAGATTGGTATGGACCTACTGGGGCCGTTCCCAATGTCAGCTTCCGGAAACAAGTGGATCGTGGTAGCTACCGACTACCTCACCCGCTACGCCGAGACAAAAGCCCTGCCAAAAGGCAGTGCATCCGAGGTAGCTAAGTTCTTCGTCGAAAATATCGTCCTACGTAACGGCGCCCCGGAGGTCCTTATCGCCGACAGAGGAACGGCATTCACTGCCGACTTAACTCAAGCGATCTTGGCATACAGCCAAACAAACCACCGCCGGACGACAGCGTACCACCCACAGACCAACGGCCTCACCGAGCGGCTTAACAAGACGATCGCCGACATGCTGTCAATGTACGTCGATGTCGAACACAAGACGTGGGACACCATTCTTCCGTATGTGACCTTCGCCTACAACACGGCGGTGCAGGAGACGACGCAGATATCTCCATACAAATTGGTCTACGGAAGGAGCCCGGCAACGACGCTCGATGCCATGTTACCCAACGTCACCGACGAAAAAAACCTCGATGTGAGCGAGTACCTTCAACGCGCCGAAGAAGCCCGACAACTTGCGCGTCTTCGTATCAAGAATCAACAGACGACCGACAGCCACCGTTACAACCTTCGACGACGCTTCGTGGAATACCAGCCCGATGAACGTATTTGGGTGTGGAAGCCGATACGCCGACGTGGACTAAGTGAAAAGCTTCTGCGACGCTACTTCGGACCGTACAGGGTGGTTCGACGTCTCGGCCCACTTGATTACGAGGTTGTCCCCGACGGCATCACGAACTCTCAAAGACGCCGATCGCGACCTGATGTCGTCCATGTCGCGCGCCTCAAGCCGTTTCATGCACGTTAACAAACTGAAACAGTGTTTTTTTGTATTATTGTTGTATTGTATTTTATTCATTGTACTTTCTTGCATTATTATTGTACCTTCATCTTTAGTTAAAGCATCGGGACGATGCCTTTTTTTCAGAGGGGGGCAATGCCACGTTCCATTTCACAAGTTTTTGTTATCGTTCCGAAACACCACACGATTCTCGGCGCAAACCGCGCCTGCAGGTTTCGAGAAGGTTCCGGACTGTAGTAGATCATTTCGATAAGACCACGCCCACTGTGCGAACGGTACAGATTGTTCTGGAACCTACGCCACCGCCAGCGATAACGCTAGAACATTCGACGGCAAGGGTATAAATGCCGACGCGCTTCGCCGCTTGTCAGTAGTTGATCGAAGGCCGACGCTGCGTTCGCCGCTATCAGTTCGAGACTGCTTTCTGTGCAAGACTGCTGCTGTAATTAGACTTTTCCTTTACCGGGCACAGGTTCGCCCAAATAAACAGTTAAATCCCAACACGAAGTTTTCTGTCTTTGGGCACGTCACGACCCCGTGACAATATGCTCCTCTTGCAGTGATGAATTTTGTGCTCTGTGTCCTAGACGTTATGCCAGGGGAGTGAAACTTCCTATACCCTCCATGGAACGCGATATTCGCTCGCAGCGCCGGACGAACGCCTGGTGTTTGGGGGCGGTACGAAAACATGGCGGCGCATTGCAGACATGCACTGGGGGACGCCATCTTGATGAGGACTGAGGATCCGAGTGGCGAGGGGGGGAGGGATTTAGCGCCAAATTCAATTGGGATGCACCAGCAAGCCAAATTGAGCGAGTGGAAGGTATTCAGATGGCGAGCACGCGACCTTCTTTCTGTTGCGCAACCCGCCACATGATGAAAACGGCCATCATTGCGTTCTGATTGATGGTCTGCCCATCCACCTATTTGTGCACTACTTATTCTAAGTAAGACGTTGTTTTTGTTTACGTGTACACATAAATTAGACAAGAATAAAGAGCAGAGTTTGTTTGAATGTTTTATTGCCTAAACGTACGGTTTATGAAGTACAAATACAACTTGAATGTTTTACGTTTTTGGTCGCATACAAAAGTGGACCGCACATGCCAGCATGCTAATTAGCTAGTATCAATTCAGTGCACATTGCCGCACATACGTATATACAAAGACAAAAGAAGAACAGTAATAACTATACACAAGTTCACAGCACGTATCCCGATATAAAATCATCCCATGAGTGGGACAAGATAATACGGCACACCGCACACTTAGGATGCAAGAGGAAATGATACAAAAACCATAAGGTACCGGAGTTAGACATTGCTACATTTTCTATTCAGCATCAGGTTTCTTTATAAAAGCTTAAGCAAAAATTTACAAAATACTGAAGCCACTATAGAGTGTTCTCATAAAATAACACGAAGGGTTTATGCTTTCTTCAGCGTAACATACCTATATTGCTTAATGAAAAAAACAAAAACAAAATACAAGCAGATAAATAGTACACACACATGTCCGCTTCAGAGGCAGAAAATGGTGACCTCAGCTATAGAAGTAGCGCTGACTCAAAAATATGGAAGTAGCGCCTACTTTTGCGCATATGTGTGTCTTTTTGTTGTCCGTGTTTTCAGAGCGCTCAGTTTTTCAAGACCTCAAATATGCAAACAGAATCCTAAAAGTTACAAAAACTTCCGCATTTTTCGTGCTGCAGCAGATTTTCTGGTGCGTTGTTTAGCCAAGGAGATGTTCACGAAGCGAATATGCCACAACAGGCGAATCCTTGCAAAAAGGGGCACAAAGGCTTTCTTGCATTCTTCAGAGCAGAATTTTTGCCTTCCCATACAACTGTGCAAAATGCCTGCCAAAACTCCACTCACATTAGGCAGGTGCGCCACAACACCGATATATTCCAAAAAGCAAGCTTCCATGGCCTTAATATCCTGAAAGCAATCGTCAGAAGGCATTGTTACATTGCCAAATAAATCTGAGGAGATGTTTCTTGCCTTAAACATAGCAAAATACTGGTGTGATGCACAAAGCTGGCGGTCGGCATTCTTCAAAAGGGTGTTGCACACACAGTGTGGAGGCCTGTGCAACAAAAATTGCCGTACGAGATATCCCCCAACATAGTAGAGAACGCTATCCTCTACTATATCATGGCTAACGGGCTGTTCCTCATCAGGAAGCATATCGACTGTTGGTGCTGCATCACAAGCAGTAGGAAGCGAATGAGGTGGCTCTGACATTTGTGCCAACACAGTGCTGTGATCCTGTTCACAGTTTCCTTCTGAAAAAAGGGCAACCAGTTTGCCAACAGAAATGTGTTTCAGACCTGATGTGAACTGAAGCACATTTGGGTTGTCATTGCAGCCATGCTTTAACCTAAGAAGCCCGAAAAGGTTCTCCAGGGGGTCCTGCTGTAGGCAGCGAGTCAAGAGAACACGAAAATCAAAATCTTGGAAGAGTTCGTCCCAGAGGAAAAGGATAGCCTTTAAGGTGACCTTCCATGCCTCAACTGTGTGTGGTTGCCGAGGCCCGTCAAATTTCCACCTTTCAACCCACGACAGGCACTCCCGCAAAAAGGCTAGGTGTTCGGACCCTTCCGAAATTGCATAACGTAACTTGTCACTGGCTTTTTTTACAGAAGAGCTATTCAGACAGTCGAATAACTTATCTATCTTCTCGAGAAAATCAGCTGTTGGTTTGGCGGATGCCGGCAACACGCCAAGAGCAATGAATACATCAATGGCCACTGAGACCGATTCGGTCATCACCTGGCTGGCATATTTAACTTTCATGTTATTGAAAGGCTTCCGGTAAATGCGGTTGTCGGTTAGTTTCTTCGCCAATTTGAGTTTGAGAGGATGCGAGCTTTCGTATAGTTGCGTAATGAAAGACCAATCCACAATTTCTTGCCCGATATGGAGCTTGTGAGGTGCGCGGAGATTATTCCTTGTTCAATTAAGTAAGTGTGGTGTGTCATATAGGAAATAAATCTTGCGGCCTTCAAGCACAAAAAACGGCTCTTCAGGCGTCACACCTAGCTTACTTGCCAAAGTGATGTTGCTTCCCCCCCTGGTCGCAGATGAGCGCATTCACAAACAACCGGGCTCCCTGCAGCTGCTTGATTAATGTTATGATCAGATGATGAAGAGTATCTGCGGGCGTTTTGGTCCTTAATACTGTGTAAGCAACAGGCTGAATCCACGTTTTTGAAATGCCTGCCACAAGTGTCAGGAGCGTTGAATTTGCCACGGCTGGTGTTCTTTGCCTACCGTCATCGGAGAATCCCATCACAATGTCATGCTTTGCATCATACTGCAGATGTTCCTTCAAGGACATTTCGTCAAATATTAATGTGCACGCACGATCTGTTAAATGCCAATTTCGGGTAGCTTCTTCGAGGGCTTCAATAGCGGTTGGAATAACTCCGGGAGTCATCGGAATATTTGATAACCACTGCTTTAGCGACCTCACAGTTGGCATGTCAAGCAGTCTTGACAAGATGTCTGTACGCTTTCGGACCATGAAAGTATAAGTTTAAAGCGAACTGGCGGTGCTCGGGCGACCACCTCCGTCCTCTACGTTTCACGCCATTAATTTTAACTTGAGTATTAAGCAACCTAAAGAATGTCTTGCGGACGTAGGGCCTGATAGCATTCAACGCCTCGGACTGGGAAAGCTTTTTAACCTTTCTCTTGCCAATTCTTGACAGTGCCTTCCGAAGCCTTGAATTTATCTTCTCCAGGTTCTTCATTTTTCTGGCTGTCCGGGGCGAGCACCTAGAAGGCTTGTGTTGTCGACCCGCTGGATTGGAACCTGAAAGATTTAGAAAAAAAGCTCATTTATACTGTGTTTTTGTGAAAGCTGACCATGAACTTTAAACCTAGTAAAAGTTCTAGCGACTTTTAGAATTGAAGTGATTACTTCCATGAGTAATCAGTTGGTCATATTTAGTTCTCGATCCTTCACTTATTCAAACTTGGGGCATTGGGAACAGGCCTCTGATAAGCACACTGCTGGGCATTGAGCCTACTAATGGCATGTATAAGCATCGTGGGCAACATGAAGCGTCAAGTAATTTTTCCTAATCATTAGCATACTCCTTGTTAACAAACATTATTGGTTATACGTTTAAAATGGTATGTTTAGGAAAAAACAACGAATTCATAGTCTTCTTTAAAAAACACTAATCCCTCTTATAATAATAATAATAATATCTGAGGTTTAACGTTCCAAAACCACGATATGATTATGAGGGACGCCGTAGTGGAGGGCTCCGGAAATTTCGACCACCTGGGGTTCTTTAACGTGCACCTAAATCTAAGCACACGGGCCTCAAACATTTTCGCTTCCATCGAAAATGCAGCCGCTGCGGCCGGGATTCGATCCCGCGACCTGCGGGTCAGCAGTCGAGCGCCATAACTACTAGACCACCGCGGCGGGTCACTAATCCCTCTTAGGAGGCAACAAACAAGCAAAAAAGGGATCGGACAAGCACTCGTCTCGTCCTGCCTTTCGGTATACATCGCTCTGGTTCTCGTCCCGTAGCAATGAACTAGCTCGCCCTGCTGACACCCTAGTGCACTTTAGGATCTGTTAAATGGTACGGGACATTAAAACGATAGCTGCAGGGCATTAATTTATCTGGAATAGTTTTAAAGAGCTTAGAGAGCAATACAATTTGCGTACATGAGGGCTCAGTCTGTTGAACTTCTTCATCGGCGCTGTGAGCGGGCATTGCAGTGGTATTCGCGGGCCGAGGAGAGCCTGTGAAGAGAAATTGGCGGAGCACAGATTTCAGCGTGACATACATACAGCTGGTATTAGGCGTCACATTAAATATTTGCAATTACAATCACTCAGGGCGTTTTCTCACTATTAGTTGGTCTCCTCGCATATTATGTCTCAATACGAGTAATAAAAAAAGTGTAAACACACAAAAAGAGAACGCTACGTGTCACTCACTAAATATATGGGTGTCCCAACTATCCTAAACCAATATTTTAAAAATCCTAATGCGATGTGCCTAGAACAGGTTAACATCGTGGTGCCCGTGATGACCTAGCGCGTAACCGAATTCTTGCCAATTACACTTATTTGGCCCATTGAAAATAAAAGTAATTTTGTAATAATAAAGCTAATAAAAATAAAGTACCTTTTGGATTCTGAATTTTAAAAGTGACTTTGAACTAGGGTGTCGTAGAATATATATATATTTCTAAAAGGCCAGTTCTGTTGCTCCCACTGTCAGAGCTATCGCGCAATTGTTTTAACAGCGACACCAAGTTGGCCGCTACTCACTCGCCATGTGCGAAATAGCTGATAACGCGCCACATGGAGTACTCTCTCAAGTTATGAGGTCATTTTCGCCTTTTCCTGTAAAACGCTACGCCACGGGTAAAATAGCAGAGACAACTGAATCAGAATCGAGGAGGTTACATGTAGAGCGTTCTGAGTGAGACGTTTGCTCTAAATTTAACGATTGTGAAGCCGGCAAATTTTTTACTTAGCTAGTTATATCTACCAGCAAAATAATGCCGGCGAATCCATGGATGCTGTGTACACCATGCGTTGGTATTGTTGGTGTAATCTGCGCGAGAATCTTAAAAATACTGAGTCATGATAACTCGGACAGGTACACATATTGAGTATTAAGACATTTCTGTAAATAGATGTAGAGGCATGAAAGTTTGTGCTGTTGTATGATCACTTTACAGTATTCCCACCTGGACTTTCGACGTGTGTCTGCCCATCGCCAAAGATGGAAACTGTTGGCACAGCACATCTTAGCAGCCTTGTCTGTCCAGGGTCTGCGTAGTCTCTGCTGGTGAAATGGGCAGAGCACAGGCGGTAGCTGCTGTAGATCTGACGAGGTGGTAAATGAGCCAGGTCCTGCCGTCTCGCATACTGAAGCCAAGCGCGAGATCTGGAAAATCAATGTGTGCGTGTGTAGTATTTGGGTTAGAATGAATTTATTTCTGTTTTCAGGCGTAGATGGATAGCTTTGAGTGAAAACTGGCATCTTTATTCGAAGTAAGCGTTATTTGATACATTTCTCATCTTCCTTTCTTAATTGAATTTTCGTAACCAAGATGACTTGTGATAGCAATCCTGAAAGCAAACTTTAAGATAAAATCTGTCTTTATTATTAAGAGAGGCGGATACATGCTTCTACTTGCGCGATAGTAATGTTTGGTGGCAACGACCCCAGCCTTCCTCCTAATTCAAAATATATTTTTGCAGACAATAGCAATCATCCCACACCAAAATCTCTGAACAACTATTCGTACATATATACCCTCGCGCACTGCGTATTCCTCGGGTATTTCTCGCGCCCTGCTGCAAATCTTTCATAAAAACCTTATTAAAACCGGTAATAAATTAGTAGAACACGTAAGTTTACATTGTCCAATTATTTATGGGCTTTTAGCTGCAATTGCATCCTTGTAAATATATCGTAATTGTACTTAAGGCTGAAACTGAAAACATGAAATTGAAGTATACATTATAAATTATTACTTTATAAATTTATTGCTAAATTCCTCTACAATATGCCGTGGATTTACGTGAGGCCAAAATGAAAACACACAATTGACACGCAATAATGTAATAACATCCGTCTAAAGTCGCAAGTGTAATAATTTATGTACTCAGTACTTAATTAACATAGTACTAACAACACATGCTATGAACGTATATGGACCCTCCCTTATATCCAAAAGATTATGGGAATCGCCTTCCTCCAGCTATGGACATAAATAGGCTGATAATATTCAAGAATAATAATAACGCATGCAACGAGAACAGACTGAACGCAGGCAATCAAAAGGTAATAAAAAGAGTGCGGATAAGCTTACACTGTTCTATTAGTTACTGTATATGCTGCTACAAATACATTTGTGACATGCCCTGCATTGCCTTGAGCCAAAGTGCAACATCGAAATGCAATGCACGATCGAAACGCATTAAATTGAAAGCGCAAGTATAAACAATCGTGCGTAGCAAATGTATTCGCTGGAATAATTTCCAGATGCTCTGCCGTGCATGTCATGTATAATTGAAGCCGAAAAGCAGACAATCAGAATGTAATGAATAAATCATGTACGTGTAGCTCAATTAAATTACACAGCTACTGCAGCAACCGTATCCTGATATGCCGTGCAAGCGTAGAAAGACAAAACGAGCAGCATGCAGATCGTACCTTTCGTCCGCCGGGATCCGAAAGAATTTTATGCCGGTGTGTCGTGAAGAATTCCGACACCACTCAGCGCAGCACGATTTGTGATGACGGCGAGAATCCATGGATGCGTCTGTTTGGCTGAATCTTGCATGGGTTTCGCTAAAACAAACTTTACAGCGGTAAAAGCGGCCTTTGGGACACCGCAGGCTGTAGCATACATGGGCGCGCGAAAAGAAACGCCCCTTTTTCGCCGTGAGAGATAGGACGACTGCGCAGTTCCCGTTTTCCACTTCGGGTGGCGCTCTTAATTTCGCAATCTCGAACTGCAACCGTTAGGCTCACTTGTGTAGTAAAAACTCCGGAGTTAATGAGTAACCTAGTAATGACTATAAAATAGAACAAGAACGTTCATTTAGGTAGTACAGCCCCCAAACGTTAGGATCGCTGCGGTCACGGGACAGAAAAACCGCGAAGTTTCACCCCCCTGGTTATGCCACTTCTCTTTCTTGGTGCGAATATCGCGCGTGCAGTGGTATGAAATAAACCACTGAATATTGCGCGTCCAGAATGAATAACCAGGAAACACAATAAATAAACAGTTTATTCTTATATAACAGACGAAAAAAACGCTAGCTATAACTGCTATCCAGGGAAGATCACTACATTCAGTATTTAATCAAACGCCCATCGGTGGCAATCACTTGTGCCACACGAGATGGCATCGAATTGTGAAGCGCGGCCACGATCTCGGGGCGTGAACAAAGTGCTTCCTACTCCTCCTGTATGGCCACGAATAGGGTCTCCTTCGTTGAACTTCCAAGATTCCGCGCCACAACTCGGCATTTAACGAGACCCCAGACGTTTTCAATGGGGTTAAGGTCTGCTTCTTTAGATGGCCATTCTAATGTGCGAACAGCAAGGCCTCCAAGCAAAGATTTCACACTGCGAGCAGTGTGAATCGGGCTCCTTTCATGCTGGTACACGAAACAACCATCCATGAACGGCCCATTCAAGACATAAGGAAGCAATTATCTCTCTAATATAAGGAAGTACGTGGAGGCTGAAAGGTTCCCTTCGATAAGAACCAGTAGTCCAAGTCCTTCTCTGGTCTTGGCGGCCCAGACACCCACAGAGCATCGGCCACTGGCAAAGACCGACTGCGTGTACTGTGGTGAATACCTGGCGAGGAAGGAAATGCTGGATTGGTTACACGAATTTATAAGAATGACAATGGCACATAGTCACTTTATCCTCGAACATTTTCGTCTTACTTGAAGATCCATATAATGAAATTTATATACGCGAGATTGCCCAGATGGTGCGAAATATTTGACATGTTGGTAAGGCACCCTCAGTGCGTTCCAGAAGGCCTCGCAAACGCAACTGTATTTTTCTAAGGTAATGAGGTACAATATACAAACATTGGCTAAGATGCTTATATTTGGCGAGCTGCTCACCATAAGAAGGAATTCAGCTTAAAAAGAATCGCAGCTAAGCTACATTCTAGAGCAAGTTGAAGGCAATAAAGTGCTGGGCTTTACTTGCCCTAACCACAACGTAATTAAGGCGCACTGTAGTGGGTAACGTGCCATTGAGTTTTACTATCTGCTGTTACTTATTCTGTGCACTACTCTTTCTACACATTCAGTTGTAAATAGTTCGAGGATGATGTTTATGTAGAAGACAAATCGCAAATGTTATTTCGAGTTCATTGGACGCCATACTCGACGTTCCTGATCCCAGGGACTTGAAAACGTTGATTCATCGCTGAACACGACTTCTCCCCAATCTTCTGATCCCCATGTCTGCACAGAACGCGCAAACTGCAGTCGCATGGATCTTTGCTTGTCCGTGGTGTGGGGCTTCTCGGGCCACGACGCACTTGGCAAGCCGTGCTTCTGCCAACCTCCTATGGATAGTCCAGACGGATGCGTATGACTTTCGCTGTTATATGGGGATTAGCTACTACGGCGGCGATAATTAGCCTGTCCACTTCGTCATCTGTGCATCTTGACCTTCCTGCACGGTCTCTGTCACTGATCCCCCCTGTTTGTCGGTACGCTGGGATGGCACGACTCACCGCATTTCTTGCCCTTTAAGGAGCCGGCAGATGACCCGCTGAGAAAAGCCTTGAATGCTTAACTCTACGACGCGTCTCCTTCCATCAGCTGGTACACGTGGCGACATTTTTGAAGACGAATGTGGGGGCCTTGAAACTCCCGATCTTTTATTCTTTCGAGAATGGCACTGTCCAATAGCTGTCTAATAGCTGGGCTGTGCCGCGATATGCTGCCATTCAACATTTGCTGTACGAGATAATTTCTTATCGTCACCAAGCCCGAAAGACCACAAAACAAGGCAAAAAATTGACAAAATTGACATATTGGTACTGCGCCGGCGTCGCAAGCACGCATGAACCTTCCGAGTGCCCAATTTTTTTCATTAGGTTATAATAAAGAATCGCATTTCCACGCAATGAGTAATGTGTACAAAAGGAGCGGTGTGCCGCCGGGTGAGGTATTTGGTCGAGCAGCTTAAGGAATTGACTTTGTTTCCTTGTGAAGCCTCCAAAATTTCAGCAATGCGAACTAAATTGTGCTCACCTGTAATTCACTGCAGTATTTTGCAAAACAACATGACCAGAATACCAGAATACACGCTGATGCTCGAGCGACGGAAGTTAATGAAGGCAGTCTCAATTCCTGACTACTTCACGTTCGAGAATGTTCCGTGCATATCTCATGGGTAAAGTACTATGGAAATACTGAAAGTGGTGACGCCCCTTTCAACCTTCGCGACTTTTTCTGGTTTCCGGAAAAGAGATTTCCAGATACCCCCAAATATGAAAAAACTCGAAAGTGAAAACCTATGACATCTCTTGCACGTCTCAATCCACATTAATTCACGCTTACTTGTCTTAATCTACTATAATGCATGTACTTAATGGGTGGACTTCAATTGGTGTTTATGGTTCGAGTAGAAGAAGATGACACGTGAATATTTGAAATTCGAATACTAGAAACTTTTGGGTCGAGGCTCGGCTCCTACCCATAAGAAGTGCGGGCTCTCGACGTGACAGATCTACGATATAGAGAGATAAATAAATTTTATTATATAGAAATGACATAGAGCTCCACCAAAGTAACGTTTTGGGAATGTTTGCTCATTCGGGGCTCTTTAACGTCGACTCAGTATACTAGTTTAAGTATCTCTCCTCTATCGAAATACGGCATGCGCGACTAGACTTGAAGATGCGTCTTTCGGGTCAGCAGCCGAGCATCGAAACCACTGCGCCACCGCAGCGGCCTTAACAAAGGATTTATCCTCAATAAACCGGGTTTGTTTTCACGTTTCTTCCTTGGCTCTTTTCTGCAGCTGTAGGACGTTTGGTGGCTTCATGCATGTTCATAGACACATGGTATATGGACCAAGTATTACTGCGTGCGTTAGTTCGGCGAATGAGAGCGCAAAAGGTAACACTGCTGGCTGAGCTTATTGATTGCCTAACTCGTCATTGAAAATGTGACCACGCCGCAGATCGCCTAGAAGTAACGTGCACTATGTGCAGCACGCCGAAACTCACAAATGATGTGCTGTCGTCACATTAGCGCTCGGCTTTTTTCATTGTCTTCAGAGTGACTACAGAAGTGACACCTTGCACCGTCCGCATCGTTTCAATATGTGCTCCGTTGAAACGAGTGAAAGGGCAAGCTGGTAAGCTGCCGGGCGATATGGGACGAGCATGCGCAGTACGCGCTCCCGGACAGAGCCGTGCAGCCGCCAGAAGGCGCAGCGACGCGCCTCGGCACGCGCTCCTGTGGTCTCTAAAATTATGCACTTGATTGTACGCTGTCACAATCATCCGCCAACGTATCATCGCTGATAAAAGATGACCCAACCTTTGACGTCAACCCTGCCCTTCCAGAGCACAAGCAACAAAAGCTACGCAGCCTTATTCGGGGTTATGCCAAATGCTTCTCAAAGACATCAAAAATCGAACAGACGACAATTGCGAAACACCGTATATTCACTGACGAATCAGGCCGGCCCATCCGCTGGAGCCCATATCGTGTTTCACCAGGAGAGCGCGATGCAATCAGAACACAAGTCGAGGAAATGCCTCGCGAAAGCACCATTAAGCCATCGAATAGCCCGTGGTCTTTACTCGTTGTACTTGTGAAGAAGATGGCACACTGAGGTTTTGCGTCGATTACCGCCGACTCAACAGTATCACGAGAAAAGATGTGTACCCACTACCGATAATCGATGACGCTCTTGATCGACTCTGCAATGCCAAGTACTTTTCCTCGATGGACTTGAAGAGCGGTTATTGGCAGATTCAGGTCGATAGAAGAGACCGGGAAAAAACCGCATTCATTACACCAGACGGCCTATTCAAATTTCAAGTCATGTCATTTTGACTTTGTTCTGCATCCGCCACAAATCAACGGGTTATGGACACAGTTTTGGCAAGACTGAAGTGGAAAACCTGTCTCGTTTAGCTCGACCACGTCGTTGTTTTTGCAGCAAACTTTGAAGAACACCTCCAAAGGCTACAGGCAGTACTCGAGGCAAATCAAATCGTCGGGTCTAACGTTAAAGTCAGAAAGAAGCCGCTTCGCCTATGAAGAACTTCTGTTTTTATGCCATGTAGGTAATCGTTATGGCGTACGCTCTGACCCCCAGAAAACAGCCGCCATCGGAAACTTTCCGCCACCAGCTGACAAGAAGGCGGTGCAGAGGTTTCTGAGACTGCGCCTATTACATGCGTTTCGTCCGGAACTTCTCATAAATCGCCTAGCCCCTTACTCGCCTGACGAAATCCAACTTGAAGTATGAGTGGCAGAAGCCACAAGAAGACTCCTTTCGAAAACTTCAGTGACAGCTACAGTCAACGCCACTACTTGATCATTTCGATGAGGACGCTAACACTGAGGTTCACACAGACGTGAACCTCAGTGTTAGCGAGGCTTGGCGCTGTATTGGTCCAAAGAAAGGACGGGCAGAATCAGGTCATCGCGTACGCCAGCAGGTCTCTTTTGAAGGCTGAATCTAACTACTCGACAACCAGACAAGGAGTGTCTGGCTGTCATCTGGGCAGTCAGAAAGTTTCGACCGTACTTGTACGGCAGGCCATTCAAAGTAGTCAGTGCCCACCATGCATTGTGCTGGCTCGCTAACCTGAAGGACCCATCTGGTTGCTTAGCTCGTTGGAGCTTACGGTTACAGGAGTTTGACGTAACAGTGGTATACAAGTCGGGAAGAAAACATTCAGACACAGACAGCCTGTCAA